GAGAGAGAGGCAGTTTGGTGCTGATCTAATTAGGGATGAGTGATTCAGCATTTTTTTTTATTTATTTTGAAAAGAAAAACAAAAAATGTAAAACATATTTTTGGTGTTTGTGTTTTTTTCACTAATTTCAGAAATATTTTTTTTAAAAAAACAAAATAACAAAATTACCAAACATATTTTTTGTTAGTATTTTCATAATTTTACAAATGAAAAAAACAACAAACACTTATGCTACCAAACGGAGCCTACGTGAAGCAGACGAATTGTATTTGAACTTCCTCCGACTAAGTCAAATTACTTCCTGGGATTCATATGAAGGCAAAGCTGCACCAACTAAATGGTGTCAAAGCTCAATTGTAATAAAATCAAGACTTTGAACCCTCACCCTGAGAGGGTTTTCTTGTCGAATTAAGCAACGTACCTTGAAGGCTACACAAATATGAGTAACAAAATCACATGACATTAGGACTACTTCAAACTTTGATTCACAGACTTCAATAAAAGCATATAGATATGGACTTAGTTTTTGTTTTGGCGTTCAAGGACCGTGTATTTGATTTAGACCTCCTCTTCGTTATATTCAAACCTTCCAGGTCTTCCACCGCGGCTTTCGTTCCAAGAGTCAAACACTAATTGCACCCAAGCCTTTTACATATTTATATAAATCTACCAACTCGCAGATTTTCGTATCCAAAAGCATTCATCAAACTCTTCGACCCATCCCCATAATGGCTTCTGGTCGTAAAGTTGTGAAGTTTACTGTTACGTTCGTTGCAGCTGTTGTTTTGTTACTCGGCTTTGATCGACATGTTTTGGCCGCCAGGCCTCTAGATGAAGTCCCATTCGACGAAGCTCTTATAGTTCAATCGCTTCAAAGGGGTCCGGTGCCACCCTCAGGTGGAAATCCATGCACTAACATACCCGGCCGCAACCACGGCCGCTGCACGTTGTCCGAAATGAACGTGGTGGGCGGAGGTGGCGGCATGCTTGCTCATCCACCACCGGCGTTTCCTGACTTGGTCGTGGACTTTGGTGCAGCATCCGCTGGTGGTAATGAGACTGATCAAAAATAAATCGTTTGTATACACTTTTTTTTTCGTTTCTTGTTGGGGTGCAACCATTCAAAGGCAGAAGAAGAAGCCTACTGGTTGTGAAACCCATCAAACTGATGTTAAAACAACACATGAATTGTAATTGTTTATTCTTTCTTTCTTTCTTTCTTTTTTCTTTTCATTATCCCATTTTATTGTTATTATTTTGATGAATTTTATAAATTTTACTTCCATTTTTCCTTTACATGGTGTAAAGTTTGCAGTCACTTGTGAAGATTTTAATGGGTTTGCTGCTTTCCATTTTGAGCAGAATTAGTTTCATTGACCCAATCAAATTCAACACCTACCTAATATTTTGTCAATACTCTAAAGTTGCTTTTACAGCAAACAATGTCTGAAGTTTTCAGAACCCAAAATTTTCTCTGCATAATTCTTGTCAAAGTGTTAATAACAGAAAGACAAATTTCATAAATGAATAATATAAATTCGGTAAAGCACTTAAAAAAGGTTGCTGAACTATTTAAGAAAATTTTAAAAAAAAATTACTTTTATATTTTTTTGATTAAGTCAATGTATTTTCATCATTAGTCATTTATCAAAATATCACGTTATTTTATATCACATAATGTTGTTAATATAAGATATTAATATGCAATAGCAAATGGTAACTAACATGATAATACAATCGTATAACATTTTCGCCATCTAAGTCAAAATCACATCAACATAAAAATAACAATAGTGTTTTGAATAATATTGATTAATAAATTATTGATCATAATAAATTATTTGATTTAAAATAAAAATATAAAAATTTAATTAAATAATAAAAAAATTTATTTAAATTTTTTTATGATTATACTTATAAATTTTAATAATATTTGATATTGCAAATCATTTCTACTCTATATTTCTATCCACAAATTGCAACCTTGGCTTCAATTTGGACCCAAAAGTTTAAAATCAATCCGGGACTAGTGAAAGTACCTATCATGTTTCCATATAGTTCTCAAACTTTAATACTACTAAAAAATAGTTGCAAATGTTTATTCTGTTCAAAGAAATTAATTTCTCATATCCATATTTATTTATAATTTTTTTGCGACATGCATATTATTTGGCTTTAAATAGGAAATTTTTTTCTATAATTGAAAAAAAAAAGAGATCATGTACCAACTAATGAACTAAATGTTCGGATGTAGTTTAAATAGAAATATTATTTGAAAGGAGAAATAGAAATTTAATGTAAGTAAACAACGAATAGTCCTAGATTTTTTTTCTCCAATGATAGAGTTTTTAAACTTTACAAACGAAGTCAAAAGAGTTGATAAGTGTCTCGTTAAATTACATTTACAAAAATTATTGGTATAATATACAAAAAAGCTCTTAAACTATTCAAAAAAATTTTAAATGAGCTTTTATCCTTTTATTACGTTTAATCAAACTTGTACATTTTTATTTTGAATCAAATAAGTCATTATACTTTTTATTTTGAATCAAATAAATTATTATAATTAATTATTGATTTAGTGAAAATATCATTTATTATTCTATGTCATATGACGCTAACGTACCATACTAAAATATCATAATTGATTATAATGTGGCATACTGATATATCATATTTGATAATGATATAACATATTAATTTAGTATGATAACATAATCATGTGATATTTTTACTTTTCACATTAATGCAATGTCAATGTCATATGAATAAAAATGTACAAAAGCTTCATTGAATTTAATAAAAAAATAAAAATTTATTTAAATATTTTTAAATAATTTAAAAGCTTATTTGAGTATTATGTCAAAATTAACAAATGAATAAATTATCTCACTCGTAAATTTAAAAATTTCATTATTAATATATATAATGAATAAATTTTATGAAACAAATTTCTCAAAAAAAAAATTAAGATTCCCAATACATTAAAGAGTAGCCAAATATGAGGTCCTTTGGTCCATGCTCTACAAGAAATGTGAAGAGAAGATAAATTTGTTTATCTTATACTTATCTTTTAGCCATGGAAGTGTGTGACCCTAGGGTTGTCCAGAAAAAGAATGTGGGTCATAAAACTCATAATAGTAACTTCACTATAAACCCTTTCTTGGCAGTCACATGGTGAGTGAGCAGAGCAAGGCAAAGCAAAGCCAAAAACATCCTAATTAAGAAGAAGGCACCAGCACCATATGATTACAAGGAAATGACATGAAAAATGGGAACAATAAATAAATAAATAAATAGTTTGTTGGTGTGGACATTGCAAACCCAAAGAAGAGCAGCAGCATGTGAAGTTTGTCATCAACCCCAAATCATCCATTGCCCTCCCTCCTTAGCTGTCAGGTTTTTTTGACTGCAAAACCTAGGCACAAATTTTTGGCACTCTTTCCCATGAGTTTCCCTTCTACTAACACATAGAGATGTCAATTGGATGACTAGGGTCTGAGTTCAGATTATTTTAAATTTAATTTTTTTATTTTTAAAATAAAATTGATTTTAGTTTAGATTGCCTCAAATTAATTTTTAAGATCATTTAAATTTAAATTAATTCAGATTCAAATTGAACTGATTTAGATTGTTGTCAAAATTTATATATATATATAAAAAGTTAAATATTGCATAAAATAAAATAAATTAAACTAGATCAATCTTAGTCATGACTCACTGGGTATATGATGTATAGCTACTTCCTAATTTCGTAAAATTTTATTGATTATTTGAATTCGGGACATTTCAGATGTCAAGGTCACAGTAAAAGTTGTCAAAGGAAGCAATCAAAATACCTTTGTCAATAATTGATTCTCCTCAAAAATATTTGCCCGATACCTTTCAAAGGAAAGGTACACCCTCATATAAAATTAAAAAATAAATAAATAAAGAGGTAGCCTACATTATTTTTGAGAAGGAAATTATAGGAAGAAGAATCTGGCTTTTGAGGCTAAAATATCTCAATCTCATACCCCATTTTTGCTAGCTTGGGCACTTGGCTAGGGATCAATTATTCTACCTTTGTTTAGGAATTAGGAAATAAAAAGGCAAATTACATTCCAAACAATGATTATTTTATTACCCATGATCTTCTGTATGTTTAAGTTGCGAAACCCAATTTTTTTTTTAATTTCATTTAGATTCGTAAATTCCAATCTCGATTATAACATCTAATCGATTAAATTCAAACAATGTCACGAGAAAAGAAGAATAAAAAAAAAAGGTTTTAAACAAGATTAATTGTGTATTTATATGAATTGAACATTGAGAATTTAACTAGAAAATTCTACTAAAAATTTACATGTATTAATTTGGGGTGGACTGTATATTTTAAAGAGTTATGGGTGAAGTGTGATATCATGACCAAAGATTAGGAACTTAGATGTAAATTAACCCAAAAACTTTTGTTCAATCACGTGTTCAAAGTGACAGTTCAGTAATGCTAATTGATGAAGTAGGATGATGAGTGAGAGGTAGACATTAAATGCCCTTCAAAAATTGTCTACTGCCTGTAAATGGAAAGCAACCTTTTAATTATAATATAAATCCAACGTAATAATATATCTATATAATATCATTAATGGCACGTTACCATTTCCCCATTATTCTTTCAGAATAATTTTCTTATTATTTTGTTTGGCTATTTTTTACTGTTGTAAATAGTCATTCTATAAAATGACTATTCCCAAAAATTAGACTTAGCCATTCCTCTCACCCTCTTTTATTAGCCATTAGAAGATTGATGGAAGAGTGTAAAAAATTTATTGAACGAAAGTATCTCTATTTATTAGAGACAATTACAATCCTAACCTTTTTCTTCATTTTCCTTCATTTCTTTCTCTCCCTTCTTGAGTTGCCTCTCACTTAAGGGCAGATTTAGAAAATTTTTTGAATAATGTTATAACTAAAATATAATTTTACGTAGTCAATTATTATGTTCAACTTCTAACAATATGATGATTTTTTATTTATTGATTAAAACTAAATATAAGCATTCACAAATTACTTATAGTTAAATACAAAAATCAAAAAATCAAATAATGTATCTATAAAATAAATCAAAAAAAGAAAGGCTCATACTTTCAAGATATTAATTATTTTCTATTAACTAGATTATAATTATTAACACAAACTATCAAATTAATCAAAAATATTTAGATATTAAGTATTTAAATATTTAATTTAGATTAAAAATTACTTACAATTGAAGTCTAAATGAGTTACTTGAGGGAGTGAAAAACACAATAAGGATTGAGAAGAAGAAGCATCATTGCATGTCTCAAGAAGGATTTAAATTGTTTGAGAAGGAGAGAAGTTTAGGTTTGAATTTTTTCTTTTTAATAAAATTTTAAATTATAGAAAGAAATTAATTTTTTTATCTTTTTATGTAATATTTAAATATTAATATATAAATTACTTTTTGATAAATCTAATGTGACTTGGAGTCTTTAAACACTAGTCCCCACAAAATTGTAAAACAATTAATAAGTTCATTAATATCATTAATTACCTAAAACTCTAGATAAGTAGCATATTAAATAAAAAATTTTGGTAAATGAATGGTGTCATGTGACACCATTGCCTTTAAGATAGGTCCGCTCAATTGCTTACCCCTTCTCTCTAAGCAAGCTCGCAATTGTCCTCCTTCACCGCCATCGCCATCCTCTGTTGTTGTCACCGCCAAGTTCGGCTAGCACCAGGTCAACACTCCAACCTCATCGACAATTTCTCTAATGATTGGCGACAGATATGAAAAAAGAAAAGAAATTAAGGAAAATGAAAAAATGAAAATAAAGAAAAAATTTAAAAAAATTACAATTAAAATTTTATTTTTAATAAATCATTAATGTTTAAATTTTTAATGAAAATAGAAATTAAAAGATTAAAAAATGAAAAATACAAATAGAAAAAAATAAAAAGATATTAAATAAAAATTCATATTAATAATTTAATAATAAATTATTAAAATTTTAAAATTTTAATAAAAACAGAAATTAAAAGATTAAAAAAGGAAAACTATCATTAAGTTATAGTAATGAGTAATTGTAACCTTTACATGAATTTTACTAAGTTATAATAAATGGTATTTTTACTTTTGATGAAAATAAATTATATTTTAATAAAAATAATAATTTTATCATTTTATTATTTATTCTTTAATTATTTCAAAGCTATTTTTATTAAATAACATCAAAATATATCATAATAACAATTTTTATCTTATTTCATTTTTTGAACTAAACTATATAATAATTATTATATATTATTCTTACAAAATAAATATTTTATTTCGTTTTATTTCATTTTCCGAACCAAAAGCCATAAGCTTCAATGAGTCATAAAACTAAATTACATAATAATTATTTTATTTTATTTTTTCTGTTGATGGTATATAAGTCATAAAACCAAATGTAATAAGACAACGGAGCGACTGCAACTTGAGCCGTGCATGTTGTACACAGACTTGATTCGAATGGCAAGCTTATTGTACGAGTCAGATCAACAGTTTAGTGTAGCAAGAGTGCAAACCCATAATTGAGAGGGTCGTTGTTTTCCAGCTTTTTTTCTTTTTTTCTTTGCTGCAGAAGAACCAGAAGTAATAACTCAACTTAAGACAACAGCAAAGCCACAGAAGAGAGAGACGAAGATGAGGGCGACTTGTGAAGGAGGAGAAAAGCGCGTGGGAGGAGAGGGAGGAGCAGATAAATGTAAGCGAAGAGGGACAGACAAGCAGCAGGCACCAACCAGCATCTACACAAAGGTAGCAAAGCAATGAAAAGAAAGGAGGAAAAGGAAAAGACAGGATTGGAATTTGAGTACACTAATCAATGAGACACCCTAACCACCCATCATGTTAGGGGAGCTGGGAGCATCGCCTACCTTTCATCATTTTCATTTCCACTATTTTGTTGACCCCATTTTTTTTATGTTTGTCTTCCTTGTTTTCCAATAAAATAACCCAAAGGAAAAAACCACTTGGAATCTCTCCAAAAGGACCCCTCCCCAAAAGGCTAAGACATCCAACCCACGAACGAAAGCTGGGTTACTGCTTAATGTGACAGAGAGAAGACAGAGCCATGGGTTCTTCAATGATTTAGTGACCCACAGCCCTACCGGGTTGTGAAAGCTAAACTGGCACAAGGTCACCCCACCACAGAAAATTCTACAGTACTACCGAGGGTGGTTTTGATGATAAGATTGGTGGTCTCTTTGACCTTATAATGGACACCAAAGGTCCTGTTTAGGCCAGTTGGAAATCAACTGGACAACACTAGCGGTAGGGCATGTGAAGCTTCGGGTCCCAATTCCCAGACTCTGATTTCTAGTTATGATCAATTCAATTAATAGGGCCATCTAGGATTTTTCCATTTTCACAACCAATTTTTTCATTAACTGATTAGATTTGATGTACAGGCACGTTTTTATGGTTAGTAATTTATAACAAAACCGTACCATAATTTATCTCGTTCAACTAAAGATGGTTCGAAATTTAATTTTTTTTTTATAATTTTATATTATGTGTCCCTACACTTATAAATATATATAAACCATGCTTGTCTGCATAAGAATCCAAACATTTACTCTACATAAAAGGATTTATTATCATGAAAGAAAGAAAAAAAAATCCATAGATTGATTTATTATGTTGTTTCAATTATAGGCTTTCATATGTTTCAGACAATGTGCAAATTTAGGGCAACAACAACACATGATGTCTATAGAAATGATGATATTTCCCTATGCCTTTCAAGTTCTTCTAGGATTTGTGCTTTTTTTTACATCCAAGGGAATCTATTACTAATTTCCTTTTACATGACACTAATTTGCTTTTACATGACTTTGGCTGGCTAGTTGCCTACTTTTACCTTGGATTGCAAAAGCTCCAACAACAAGATTTGAGTTTAATATAAAAAATTAATCACATTTTGAAAAAAAAAATCAAAACCAATCAAGTTATAATAAAAAATATAAAAATAATCGAAATCAACTTAACAGTTGAACTATGCAATTGTAGCCCTCAATCCATGTGTTTATGAACTGTATATGAAGCAAGCAATCATAGCCAAAATATAAGAGAAGTGCACATGACCTATGAAGCAAAGCAATTAAGAATGTGGGAGTTTTGTTTAAAATTTGGTATAAGACCAAAATCATGTAAAAAAGAAATCATGATATTCTATTTAGTGTTAATATATGAATTATTGGAGAAGGAGTGCACGCGCAGGGAAGTAGGGGAGAGGCGAGTGGTGGTGTAGAGAAGTGAGAAAACATGGAATCTCCTTACGAGTTCCAAACGTCATATAAGCAAGTTAGAAAATATATTGGTAATGGAAAGGAGTTTTGGTTTGGAGTTTGGACCAAAGTGGTCTAAGGCCGACAGACAGCGTCGTGTCCAAGTGTAATGTAATGAAGACCAATCTCTCCCTCTCTCTATTTCATTTCTCACTCCAAATTTACTGCCTGCCCTGCCCCCCTTTCTCTTTCCTACTGTTCCTTTCCTGCCCTGTCTCTCTCAACTCTCTGTATCCTCCATCACGTGACCTTCTTCCAATTCTCTTATAGACAGAGAAAGAGAGAGAAAGGGGGAGCAAGCAACAACAAAAACCCAAGAAGGCAAAGCCTTTTTCTCACTACTTATTAAGTATTTTATTTAGAGAGGGAGCTTTCAAAGAACTGAGTGAGAAGCTCACCCTTCATTGTCTCTCTTCTGTCTTTGTTTTCTCTGTGTGTCATTGTAACTAAGGAAAAAAAACTGAGAAAGAAAGTGAAAATTCATAGAAAAAAGCTAAAGGGTATCTCTCTATTTGTCTCTCTCTTTCTTTGCATTTTGCAGTGATTCTACTCTTTCAGCTCAGTGTGTTTTGGAGTGAGATAGTTTTCTCTTTTTTTTTTTTTTGAATAGAAAGAGGGAGAGACAAAATATATACTTTTAAAGTTTTTTCTTTTTCTTTTTCTGTTCTTTTTGAGAGAGAGTGTGTGTGGATATAAAGAAAGAAAATGCAGCAGCACCTGATGCAGATGCAGCCCATGATGGCAGCTTATTATCCCAACAACGTCACTACTGATCATATTCAACAGGTCCTTCCCTCCCCTTACCTTTCTCTTTCTTTCTCCCTTTCTCTTTCTCTTTCTTTCATCTGTTTTTGATCAGAATGTATGTCCAAGCGTATCTTTATTTTGTTAAGAGTCATTCTTTCTGCTTTTACTTTGATAAGTCAAGGATTAATGGAAGCTGTTATCTTCTTTGTGTTGCTTGTCAAAGCTATTATCTTTCTGCTTTTGTTTTGATGACTGTTGGTAAGTGGGTATTAATTGTTTCATTATATATAATATTATTTGGTTTTCATGGAGCTAAGGAGAAATTTAAATGGCAAGTAGGTTTTGTATAGTTTTGATGCTTTTCATCTTAAGATTTGACGGCATCTGGTAGATGGGTATTTGTCATTTTAAGATTTCCTAGTTATCTTTCTATGGGTTTGGTTTTTGGGACTTGTCTTCAATTTTCCGTTGCTAGGGTTCAAATATGTCTTATTTCTTTAATTTTTTTAGATGTTTCTTTTGGTAAAGCCAGTGATTCCTGATTAGCAATTTAGCAGCAAGTGGTGCTTCATCCTACGTTATTGTTGTTATATATTATTGTTTATATAAATTGGACCCTATATTGAATAACTTCTTAATATTTTACTCTTTCGTGCCCTTTCTCTTTTTGTTCTTTCCTAAGTTTTAACTGGAAAGAATAATTGGTGTGGGTTATAGCTATCTCCCACAAAAGACTGGGTGTTTTCCATGATTCTTTACATAAAGAATGAAAAGTGTAGTAAATTGTTAACTTGGAATTAGTTGTTCTTATTCCATTCTCTTTTTAAAATTCTTACCTCCTTGTAAAGGATGAATTTGTTACTGCAAGAAGATGCCACTTCTAGCATTTCAATTTACCCTCTAGGAAACTTAGCTTAATGCCTGAAGGACTAAACCAAGTTACTTCCCTTCTTGGATGCATCATTTTATTAACTATGTAGAGCGCATTTTCATTTGTTAAAATTTCCCTTTTTCTTGCAATCATCAGTCAAGTTAATCATGGGATACGGGTTTACTACCTTCATGACCATCGGGTTTAAATTACTGTATGAAAAGCTCAAATGATTAGCTAGGAACTAGGAAAAATAGCAGAAGAAATGAGATGATTCTCTTCTTGGGGCTCTCGGCATATTTAGTCATATTATGGATGAAAACAGCATTGCAATATTGTGACTTGTTAGAGTAAATATGAAAGTCGAGCCAAAAAGCCATTTTCATGCACCTAACATACACACTGAGTTGGCCAGAACTGGTTAATGTAGCAAGATTTTGATCTGTACTTGGATTGTATAGTAAATGTGTTTCTATAATTAAACTGTAGTCGCTGTTGATAGTAATGAACTTGTTCAGATTAAGATTGTTGTCCATGTAAAAATTTTGAATTCTTTTGTTACTTCACTTCTCTTGGGCCCATGACTTTAATTCTAAATGCTTTTATGGCGGTGGTCCTCCAGTAGTTCCGTTTGACACATGGCATTTGACATGTCCTTTGCTTGTTTATGTGGTCCTTTCTTGATAATCCTTTTATGTTTTCATGTTGTCCTGATGTGTTTCCTTAAAATCCTACACCCTTTATCACCTAAACCTGTTTTTTCTGAGATTAATATAGCATCCTATTAGTAGTTTGCGCGAAGTATGTGAAGCAGAATCTTATTAATGTACAAAAATATGTTCTTATATAAGTTGGACTTTTCAAATCTGGCTTTTGGATTAAGGTAAATTCTATGATACCTAGATTGGGATTCCTCTCTGGGAAAATCATTGGTTCCTTGTTTGTTTTTGTTGGATCCCAGTTACAGATGATTTTGCACACTTTTCCCTCTAATTATCATGCTGGCGGTGCTGATTGAATTACTAAGACTAGTTATGAATCAAAGTGGTTGTTGACAGATGACTGGATGTCTCTCATCTTCTTTCCAATTGATCGTTACATGTTGCTTAATTTGTTCAATGACTTGAATTTTTCTGCATGCAGTATCTGGATGAGAACAAGTCATTGATCTTAAAGATTGTTGAGAGCCAGAATTCAGGGAAATTGAGTGAATGTGCTGAGTAAGTGCTAATTATCACTCTCTAATATCTATCGTTTTTTTCTTTTGGATAATTATTGTTCCCTTGGCTTCCAATATCTGATGCTCAAGGGCTTGTTATAATTGCATCACTAAGTTGTTTTTGAATTTGTACTCTTCGAGCAAGAGGTGTGCGAATTAGTGTTATTTATATATGAAGTCTTACTGAAGTATCGTTTAATTTCAATTACCTGAGTGTTTTTAGAGAGATTCAAGTTTTTCTGTCTCTTTTTCATAAATAGCAAAAGATGGGGTTAAAAGCCAAGGTTCTTGAATGATCTGAAACAAAATATGCTCAGTGCTGCTCTCTCTCTCTCTCTCTCTCTATATATATATATATATAGATATATACACACACACACACAAACATTCAATAACTAGCAGTCTTGTATGTTCCAAAAAGTCTTCAAAATCTACTTCTGCTATCTTTTTTTCCTTACGAGGGTTTAGAACTATGTCCTCCTACAATGCCTCAAAAGTGTCATTTACTGGAAAAATAGTCATAAATCTTCATTTTTGTCTTCATGCTTACTGCTGCATTATATTCTGCTTGAATTGCTGTGTATGGGGGTTATGAACTTTTTTTCTGCTTCTCAAGTATGGGTTTAGTTAGTTTGCATATTAGCTGTTTGTTCTATATGTTTTATTGTTTGGACAATGAGATTTTTTGGAGTTTAGTTTGCTAAATTTAGCAGCACTGAGTGAATGTCTCGGGTTCAAGAAGTTCCTTTTTGGTTAGATAGGATTCATTTGAATGGATTAGGCTGGCTTTACTGGGAATATCAACTATATCTGGGGGATGCTCCTTGTTAATGCAAATTTCTTTCCTTTCTTGCATCTATGTTAGAAGGACTGAAATTATTTATGAAGTAACTGAGGCTACATGTACACGGGAACGATTGAGTAATTATGGTTCTGAAGCCACCAGAATTGCTAAAGTACTGGCAGAAATCGGAAAATTTGGTAAATTGTAACTGAAAGAAATATTTGACATATAAGAAATCATAATAATCAGTGTATATTGAGATTCTGCATCACCTTTAAACTCAACTCTTTTATTTGGGACAATGCAGATGAGTACAAGCGATTGCAACAAACGATACAATATCTAATATGAGCCACTGTAAAGTACTCGAAAAGGTATTGGTGGTTGTGGTCTTAGAAGGTTCACTAACTAGTTTCCATTGTTGCAGGAACCAAGCAAGGCTGCAGCGAAACCTCATGTACCTGGCTGCAATTGCAGATTCTCAACCCCAACCACCAAACATGCATGCCCAGGTGCAAATCCCGTTGCTCAAATTCCTACCACCAGCTTTTATTTTATTGGATTTAAGAGACCATTACATCTTGAAATTAGGATCTCTGTCCTATGCTCCTCTCTTGCCAATCAGCACCTGCACTTGGCTCCGGTGGCTGGAAAATGTAAAATTAATCGATACTAAGGCTGTCTAGGGGAAAGTCTCAGGCTTGACTCCTAAAGAGTTTTTTGATCAGATATACAAAACCAAAAATTTTGGGGGGTGTTGATGGGTGGGTATGCAGAGAGAGAGGGAGAGAGAGTTGATTCCTATTCCACCATGTTAAATTGTGATCTGTGCTAATTAAGCCAAGTCCCACTACTTTGTTTATGCTGTTAAAAAGTCTTCCTTTAAAATATCATGCATTCCCAAAGAGGATAAACATCAAAACAGAAAGACTTTTAATATGTATTTTTGTTGCCTTTATTATTTTTTGCAATTTTTTTCCTACTCTAGGTGAGTTTTGAGGGATCATATGTCTCTTCTGCTATAGTAGGCATGGCTTTTCCAATTTTCACCACTTTAATATGTTTTAGGGCTTTGGTTTTTCCTGAAATCAAAGTAATACCTTTTAATTTCTATCTGCCCAGAAATTATATTGTAAACTTGCTAGGCAGATCCTTAATTTTAAACAGCTTTTACATTAAAATGTCACCAGATCTCTTTCAAGAAGTAAGTTTCCTGATTGTCTTTGTCAATTGCTTGTAGTTTCCTTCCAGCGGTATTATGCAGCCAGGAGGACCCTATATGCAGCACCAACAAGCTCAACAGATGACCCCACAATCACTTACGGCTGCACGGTCCTCCATGCTGTATGCTCAGCAGCCATTTTCAGCCCTGCAACAACAACAAACTTTACACGGTCAGCTTGGCATGAGCTCTGGTGGAAACGCAGGCCTTCATATGCTGCAAAGTGAGGGTAGCACTGCAGGTGGCAGTGGAGCACTTGGGGCAGGAGGGTTTCCTGATTTTGGACGTGGCTCTTCTGGAGAAGGCATGCATGGTGGCAGGGCAATGGCAGGTGGAAGCAAGCAAGATATTGGGAGTTCAGGGTCAGCTGAAAGGTCTGAGGCAGCTCCGGAGGTCAGGGTGGTGATGGGGTGAAACCCTTTACTTAAAAGGGCTGATGATGGAATTGAGAGATAGAATGGTGGACCGTCCTTAGGAGAGTTAGCTAGGAAGATCAATTTAGTGACAAAAAAAGACTAAAAAGTAAAGAAAATTTTTTGCTCATGGAACTTGTTCCTGGTGCAAAAAACAATGTTAGGACTTAGCCTCAGACGTTTCGGCTTTTGTGTTTTCTAGTGTGGGACGAGTGCATCCTATGGTAATTTAACATGTAAATTGTAGGGTATCATGGTTCTACTTGCCTTGCGTTTCACTTCAGTGTGGTATCAGTTTCATTATGACTCTCTGTTTGGACCATGTTTCAGTAGATGAATTTTGATGGTCATTTACAGAGATTGGAAATGAAAAATGTCATAAACTGCCTTGCTTTCCCTTTTGCCGCCAACTGTTATGATTTTTCACTTGCATTTCGCTTTGGTGTATTCAGATTGAGGTATCATTCAAAGAGGAGATGACAGGACTTTGTAAAAGTCTACATGTTCAGCATCATAACAATAATTTGGCTTGGTTTTTCATCCCCTTTAGCTAGAATTTCATATTTCCAGGCAACTCGACATTAATCTACATCTACATTCATGAACCATTTTAACTCTAGCTAGCTTCCTGCATTCATCCGTGAACATAAAAAAAAAGGAAATAAAATTAAGCAAGAAATTCTAGCTAATACTGGTGTAACTTATAGTCATACAAAAATGAAAGGAGATTGAAACCCAAACAAGTTCTCAGGGACAGCTCTCCAAAGAAACCCTTCATCGAACTCTAGCGAGGACATATCATCTTGGAATGTATCCAACAAACTTTTATCATCAACCTTCGCAGGTGGTGAATCAACATGAAAAGGAGAATGAACTTGATTTGCTTCCTCAGGGAGTGTCGTCGGAACATTGCTAGGCTCTCCAACATCAGAATTTCGGCCTGTAAGTTCTTGAACGATTGCGCGAAACTCATCAGCATTGCTAGCTTTAACCATCATCGGACTAGAAATATATTTGATCTTGATGGGATTTTTCTTAGCTTTGGTGGGATTTTTGCTCTTGTGACAACGGTGATCCCTAAGCTTTCCCATACTTTGCGCATTAATAAGAGAAAAGAGAGGGAGATGTATAGCTGGTTTGTTTTTCATCACTAGCAATGCCTTCCTTTTTATAAGGTATGGTGGTGTAAGAGATGAGACCCATTGTCCTCCCATCAAGGAGGACTATGCAAGGAAAAGTGACACGAGGAAATTCGTTCAAAAGACAAGAAAAAGACGGCGTCCATGTTTGGTAGTAGTGAAAATTTTGTCATTCCAAATTGTCTGCTCAATTAGTCTAGCTAGCAAACTCTAGTTTGCCAGAAACTTTTCCTGCCGGCTGAAGGAGGGTTTACCCAAGATTTAAGGCCCAATGTTAATGGGCTTTAATCGAAATTTTAAATATGTCTATTAATTCTAAAAATAAACACTTTATTCAAAATATTAAACATTAGTAATAGAAATTAAAATATTTTTTTATTAATTTAAAAAATTATTATTATATATATTTAAAAAAAAAATGGGAACGCCGATCACTAGCTCGGAGGGGAATACATGGAAAGGGGGCACTAGATTTAGTGCTTTCGTAGGAGTTCCGGATTTAAGGCATTAAGGTTTACTTTAAATAGTCTATAAAAATTTTAAAAAATAAAATGAAGCAGCCACAGACTCGGTTGGTTTGTTTGACTAGAAGGAAAAGATAAGCTTAATCCAAACAAAGAAGAAGATTTTTTTATTTAAACTGTATATGATCATAAGTACATGTTGTCATTGATGACCAAATATTGTATATTCAAATCTTTATAGCCACGTGCATGGATATATATATATATATATATATATATTGAAATGGTTATTAATGGCATGTTCATGCACCCATTCATAGATTTCAGGTGTAATACGGATATAAAATCGTGAGATAAATGGTGGGTTTTTAATAAATTAATGGGTTAAAGAAAATTACAGTGAATGTTACTTTCGTGTGTGTTTATATAGAAATAAATTTATTGGTGGATTTTTTAAATAAGATTAATTATTTTATATTATCTGTAAGTGTTTGATGAAGTCTGTTGTTTTATTTTATGATGATTTTTGAAAGGAAGAGGAAAATTAAGGCCTGGGAGTCCAGTCAAAGTGATAACGTTACTGTGAAGTGGTTAAGTGTCCTCCGCAAAGTTGTAGCGATCAAGCTTTTGATAAATGATAGGTCAAGAGTCAATGCGGTGTGCTTTCCCCAGTTATACTCACGTGGTGATTTACCACTGCAAAGGACGTCGAAGGTTCACCCCGGCAATCTCACAACCCATTCTAGAAATGAAGGACTCTGAGCAACACCTTGCCTGATTTGCTTTTCTTTTTGGCTTTTTTCCACAAGCCCTTTTCTGGGCATTTGGTATCAGTTCTTCTCAGACTGAATTGGTCATTGACTTGACCCACTTTAGTTACTTGAACCTTCCTGGAACCTGGTTTAGCTGTTGAAAAACTAAGGCCAGGGAGAGGAAATTAACACAATCAATGATATGATTAGTGCGACCAAAGTAGCTCGTTACCACCATGATTTCAAAACCAACCAAAACATACAAATTCTAGGTATAAAAAGAGAAATAAAATTATATATAAAACAGGTACAACATGTAACAATTCATAATCATAATTAATTTTAAAATTTTAATTTTAATTAACAGAAGTGGTTAATTTAGTGTGATTTAGATTTAAAAAATTATTAAATTTGCGATGATCGGTGGGATCATTATTTGTCTAAATATATAAACATAATGAAAACCCATTCATAATCACACCAATCCAATGGCCATGGGTGTGAGTTACACCAAATTACAGTACAACCAGATACATTACGTTGCTCGTGGGACATGCAAGTGACACGACAACAGACCGAGACATTTCGGTAGGAGAGAGAGAGAAGACTTGGTTGGCAGCCACGAATTGGCGCGAAACCAAAGGCATACAAAACCGAACTTAACGGTCCTCTTGAAGAATGTCACTCCCTCAATACCCCAGCATTTCACTTCCATACAACACAAAAAACTCACCCATCTTTTCTCTCTTCTTTTCTCTTTCCATTTCTGTCTCTGTTTCCCACAGAAAGTTTGCGTGCATTTTCTTTTCCAAGAACTGGGGTGCTTTGTTCTTTTGTTGTCTTCGGGTTTCTAGCTCTCTTTTGCTTTCTTTTATCATTCTTTTGATTAGTTTTTCTTAAGGTTTGAGTCTTGTTGGTTTCTGCAAGAGTCATGGTTAAATCCAAGGTAGGAAATTGAATGGTTTAGATTTTTGGGGTTAGATGGTCTACATAAAGGAAGAAACTATGCGTGGCCAGGCTTCGGATTGAGAGCTTAACAATGGTAATGTGAACATCAGATCTACGGTAACTTGATTTTGATACTTGGTTGTTTTAATGTAGAGATGACATATTATTTAACATTTTATATAGTTTCTGTGTTTGCTTGACCTGATTAATTGTTATGATTCATTCAGTTTTATAAATCAAATATATATAATTGATAAGACTTGAACATATACGTACCAAGAAATTTTTTTTTTCTGTACGATAGGTTGAACTATGACTGAAAAATCATGTTGATTTAATTAGGAGACACTTAAAAGAACATTAGATTTATGGGATAATTGTGAAGGGGAGGCGGTTGTTGTTTAATGTGCAGTGTCTTCTGTGATCAAGCCATCATCAAAGACTAGGAAACATGAAGTTTTGGTCAAGCTCAGAATTAAGTTTCTATAAATTTGTAGTTGTAATCGAGTGCAAGGTGCTAAATGGATTGCTTCATTGTGGCTATATATGAAGCAAATCTGTCGATCCGTTTGAATGTTCTATGTATTTTGATGGAAAAATTCCTTTCCAACATGTTAATGCTTTGATATCTCTATCCCAGGGAACTCCCGTGAATATTATTGTAGGTTCTCATATCTGGGTTGAAGACGCAGATGAAGCTTGGATTGATGGGCAGGTTTCAAAAATTAATGGAAATAATGCCGAGATCGAGACTAGTAATGGAAAAAAGGTATGTGCATGGATTACCTATAAGCCACTGTCTTTAATTCATTTGAGTTAATCTTAATTTCAGATAGCGTTGGATAAGAAAATCAATTGTTAATGACTAGTAAGATATTAGACTTTCCTACTTGACATTCACTACCCATGTCGTTTGGTATTTTTGTTAACTTTAAGGTCACTGCAAACTTATCCAAAATATATCCAAAAGATGTGGAAGCTCCTGCTGGTGGAGTTGATGACATGACAAAGCTATCTTACCTGCACGAGCCTGGAGTTTTGCAGAATTTAAAAATTAGATATGAACTGAATGAAATTTATGTAAGCTTCCCTTCCCCTTCATTTAATCAAAACTGATTAGGGTCTTTGCCGAATACATTTCTGTTAACGTTGATGTACTGGTGATGGCAGACTTATACAGGGAATATACTGATTGCTATTAATCCATTCCAAAGACTGCCCCATATCTATGATGCTCATATGATGCAACAATACAAGGGAGCACCATTTGGAGAATTAAGTCCTCATGTTTTTGCGGTTGCTGATGTTGCATACAGGTTATTGCTTTTCTTTTTCACCTTATGCACTCAATTAATTCCTTTTTTTAGGTGATGTACAGAGTGTTTAAAGAAATTTTTTTAAACTATAATCAGGGCCATGATAAATGAAGGGAAAAGCAATTCAATTCTGGTTAGTGGTGAAAGTGGAGCAGGTAAAACTGAGACCACGAAAATGCTTATGCGATACCTTGCCTTCCTAGGTGGTCGAGTTGCCACTGAAGGACGGACAGTTGAACAACAAGTTCTTGAAGTATGATTGATAACTTTAACTCATGTTGCTTTGATGAAGTTTAATTGATTTCAAATTATCTTTCATATGTCTCCCTCTGATTTCTTGCATGATATCTGATAAGAGCATTATACTATCTGAATGCAGTCTAATCCAGTCCTTGAAGCATTTGGCAATGCTAAAACTGTTCGAAATAACAATTCCAGGTAAGAAAATCCTGTAAAAGGATACCAAAGAAGGATATTGGTTTGATTCTTTGTATCCAACTGATGATTAAACAATGAAAAAAGAGACAACTAATGAGAATGTCATGCATTGAACATACTAGCAAGTCCAGGAAATTTATTTTATCAAAATTTTCTTGCTGCAAAAGAAATTATTTAGCTCATGACATGAATTGCATTTATTATTTATATGTAACAATCCAGTTATACTCCTATAATGGTTTTTGTGGTTTGACATTGATCTTTCCTAAAATTAATACTGGTGCAGCCGGTTTGGTAAATTTGTTGAGATCCAGTTTGATAAACATGGAAGAATATCAGGAGCTGCCATCAGAACTTACCTTCTAGAGAGATCCCGCGTTTGCCAAATTTCTGACCCTGAGCGCAACTATCACTGTTTTTATCTTCTTTGTGCTGCACCACAGGAGGTATTTTGTTGACTTCTTGTGAGATTATCTGACTCTTGGTGAATATTAGCCATTTTAATTTCATGGGGTTTAAGATACTACTGTTAACAGGAAATCGAGAGGTACAAGTTGGGAAACCCCAAAACGTTTCACTACCTTAACCAGTCACGTTGCTATGAACTGGTTGGTGTAAGTGATGCCCATGATTACCTTGCTACAAGGAGGGCTATGGATATTGTCGGAATTAGTGAGAAGGAGCAGGTATAACTCTTACAGCTGCAAGTATTGAGCTGCTTTATGATATAAAACCAGGAATGACCAATCTCTCTCTCTCTCTCTCTCTCAGGAAGCAATTTTCAGAGTTGTTGCTTCAATTCTTCATCTTGGAAACATTGATTTCGCTAAAGGAAAGGAAGTTGATTCTTCAGTTCCCAAAAATGACCAGGCCAAGTTCCACCTGAAAACAACAGCAGAGCTTCTCATGTATGTGTTTTTTCTTCTTGTCACAAGGCCATTTTCTGCTATCTTCACTTTCATTTTTGTGTAATCATTGAATTCATACTTCATTTTAGGTGTGATGCTACGGCCTTAGAAGATGCATTATGTAAGCGTGTTATGATCACCCCTGAGGAAGTCATAAAGAGAAGCCTTGATCCTCAAAGCGCTGCAGTTAGCAGGGA